CACCCAGTCGGGCAGCACCTCCTCTCCCCAGCCTCCATCCAGTGTTGTCTTCAAAGCAGCAAGCGTTACAAAGAGGTGGCCACCTCCTTGGCCAGGAGAAGACAGGTGCCCCAGGACATGGGCAGCCTGCTGCCAGCCCGTGGCACCACGGTGGCTGAGGGGCCACAGGGAGGGCAGGTCTCTCCCCTGGCAGAGGGTGCTGCAGGGAGGAGATGACTCCAGCAGCAACAGTCTGGCTTCTCCTGGGGCTGGTGGCATTGCTGGCTGCTCCCAGGAGGGTGCAAGGAGGGGTGGAGCAGGTAGTGCCATGATGGGATGGGGCATCAGCGCCTGCTGCCACCTCGCTGGGCACCACCTCTCCATCCTTTGACTTCCCACAGTGCCAGGAACCTCAGGCTAAACTTTCCCGGGTAAAACCCATCCTCCAAAGGCCTTCTCCAGGTAGCAGGCTACCGCCAGCGTCAGATGGTCATTGTAGGAGGCTGCTACCAGCTGGATGCCCAGCGGCAGCCCCTCGCTGCTCAGGCCAAGCGGGCACTGAGTCACTGGCAAGCCCAGGACGTTGAAGATGGCTGGAAAAGAGAAGGTGACATCAGAGCAAGCACAGCAACTGCGATACATCTCCCCACCCAGGTAGGTGGCTGCTGCCAGGCATGGTGCCAGGCTCCTGGGAGCTGGTCCTTGCCAGAGCAGTGCAGTCAAAGCAGGTGATGGAGATGTAGTGACAAGAGCACAAGGCTGGGCAGAGGTTCCCAGTGCCATCACGTATGCAAATTGCATCCAGGAGTGATGACACATTTATGTGGCATTTGCTGTGACATGCCAAGATCTGCAATGCGACATTCCTGCCCCAGGATCTGCAATGGGACGTTCCTGCCCCAGGCCCCATCCCTCCGTTACTCCAAAGCCAGATAGCACTGCAACGTGGTGCTGGCATCAAGAGCCACAGGAAAGCCACGTGGAGAGCCCCAAACCCTACCCCAAGGGACACAGCAGCTCTCAGGTGCCTCCTAAACCACAGTGCCAGGTGTGACAGTGAGCACATCCCTCTGAGACAAGGTGTTCCCCACCCCAAGATCAGAAGTGTTCATCAAACCTGTCTCTCTGTGGACAGCAGGTACAAATACCACAATTTTAAAGTATGACCATAAACTTTGTTCCACGTTCTGGAGCAGCCAGACAACCCTCTGAGCTGCAAACCCCACTGCTAGTGATGGAAATAGTCTGGGTGAAACACCTTGGCACACTTGTGACCCCCACCTGCACCCCAGGAGAAGTCAGCTGCTCACCTGTGTAGGCAAAGTTGAAGGGCATGCATATGGGGGAGTGGTGCCTGGGAGCAACGGTGGGGTGGGAAGGATAGAGGAGCACCCCATCCAGTCCCAGCAGGGCCTCCATCTCCTCCTTCAGGCTCTTCCCCATGCTCACCAGCTTGGCATTCCCACCAGGGTTGAGTTTCATCAGCTTCTCCGTCAACCCCAGGGCTACAGGGCAAGGCCAACAAACAGGAACAGAGATCCAGCAAGAGGACAGTGGGTTAAACAGAATAGAAAGCGTGTTGCCTGGCCACACACAGCATCCCTCAGCTCCTTCTGGGGTCCCCCCAGGTTCCCCTTCCTGCTTACACCTCAGGTCCCAGAGTGGATTGTCCCCTGCACTGCTCTACAGGCAGCATCTCCCCAGCTTTGCCAAGGGAAGGGCTTTCAGCCTGCCCATTGCTTCCAGGAGTTTTCTTTGCTTCCAGCATTTTCCCCAGCCACTGGGATTGAGCAGAGCTGGTGGAAGGACTCCAGGACTCATTAGACAACAGCATGACAGCACTAATTAGGGTTCTCCATATCTGCTGTTAAGAAATGAGTGCAGAGCCCTGCCTGGCTCCCTCTAAGCTCCAGCAGTTCTTGCAGGGCTGACAGCAGAAGCAAACCTGTTGTCCTCACTTCTTCTCCCAGGAAGGATATCCAATCCCAGATATCAAAGATCCAGTCAACTCCCCCTCGGGCAAGTGTCTGACTTCAAGAAACCAAATATCATTACAAAAAAAACCCAGTTTGAAGCTGCTCAGTGCAAACCTGAGTCCCTTTATGGGGCACTATATTAATTTAACAAATTTCCTACCCCCCCAGCACCTCTGCACACCCCAGGGCTCCTCCTGGCCTTACCGATAGCTGGGAGAGTGTGTGAAGACATCCCCACGAGCCACTTGATCAGCTCCCACAGTGGCCACACTGGTTTCCCGTGATCCCCCAGCAGGTCTGTGAACAGCTGTGCCTCCTGTAACACACACACACACACACACACACTGTCTGCTCGTGCTATGGGCTCATAAATGACAGTGACATTTCCAGCTGGGCTGGAAGCTCTTCCCACCTTCAGACAAGAGATGTCCATCAGGAGCTACACAAGATCCAGCACTAACCCAGAGATTAGCAGCAGGAGCATCTTTCCTTGTCAGGGATAATAAGAGGGGACCTCGCTCTGCAGAGGGAGCCCCACAAAGCAGCACCTTCCAGTACCCCCCTCTGACATGACACAAGGGATGATGCTCCAGATAACGTCTCCTGGAGGCATTTACTGCTGTTACATGTCTGTGGGATCAGGACAAAGGAGGTGGAAGGGCTCAGGCGTGCTCTGCTTAGCAAGATGGGGTTGGTTTATGGCAGAATGCACGAGGTGTAATACTCCTGAGAGTTGATTTTCGCCACAAAACACCTCCATGCATGCACAGAGGCTACAACTCAAGGAAAATAATAACACATGAAGACCTGCTGCTGAAAAGCTGCTAATCCACCACCTCAATCCTGGCATCCGAACGGGCATTAAACCCAACCTGCAATGTCAGGAGACAGAGTAGGGAGCTAAGAGCGAGGCAGGACGCTCAGTGCTGATGTAAAGACATGTGATGTATCAAATAGATTGAGATGAATTAAGAAAAAAGAAGAGAGATGGTCCCAAGAGGAAGGAACACGCGTGTTGCCCACACACATGGGGGTAGCAACACGCCAACAAAGTTCCTCTCAGGTTCAGCTGGAACAAGAGTCTGATTTTCCTTCATTTGTTTCACTTTCTCTTGTTGATAAGGCAAAAATTTGGGGCACAGGTATCTGCCGTCACTCTGGGTCGGATGAAATGACCTTTTGAATTTTCAGGTGTTTACAAAGCAAACCAAAAGCCAAGGCAGAAGAATTCCCCCGTGTGAAAATCAGGCAGATTTCAGAGGAGTTGAGGTTCTGAGGAGCTGAAACATGACTTAGCAACTTGCACAGAAAAAGTCAACGTGCTAAAATGGTCTCTCCCACCCTAAACCACGTAGCTCCTCTGCTGAGAGCCACATTGTTACCTCATGGGAAAGCAAAGGAGAAGGGGCTGTGTAGCTTTGGAGAGATGAAAGGAGGATGAGAGGGACAAAGGAAGGAGAGAAAGACCCTGGGCAGGTCTGGGAAGCCTACAGCCCTCCATGGTTGGCCCCAAACAGCTGGTTCTTCCCTGCTGCCACTCAGGTTGTGCCTTTGCCAGCTCAGCATGACACACCTGCCCGTCGTTGTCCTTGGATGACATCATGGCTGACCAGATCTGGAAAGAATACTTCATCTTGTGGACTGCCACGCGTTGAACTTGGACCCCCAGCTCACTTTCGAGGTGCTCCACCACCTAAGGGGAAGAGCAGGAAGGGTTTGTTTCTGCAAGGATGTGATGTGCTACAGTCAGACCATGGAAGCCAGGGACAGGAGAGAGCCCAGGAGCAGCTTCTCTTTGCTGCCACTCAGGAGATCCCACAGTTCCTCTCACCCTGAGCAGCAGGACCTCCTCCATCCGATAACAATTTTGGAATTACCCAAACAGCCCTCCACGCCACCCCCAGCACCAGAAGATTTCATCTCCCCTGGTTTTATCTCCAGTGAGAGCCAACCTCCACTCCTTCCTACCTTCTTTTGGGCCTGCAAGAGCTCCTTGTCCACAGGCGACACAAAAATGGACCCGCCGTCATGATCCATGCAGTAAAATTTGATTTTCTCCAGTGACACCTTTTCATTCAGCTTCAGCCTGAGAAAGGAATGATGCTTTGCCCACAAATCCATCCCTGGCTCCTCCCCAGCTGCCAGAGCTGCTCACACATTTGTTAATCCATCCTCAGGACACCCTGCTCTACCCATCAGGGTAGGAAGGAGAGTCCCTGAAGACACATATAAAAGGTTGCTTGGTTGCATGGACCTATGAAGAGACCGTGGTGTGGGATGGAAAACTCATTCTTCAGCAACAGGAAAAAGCACAGGGAAGACCCCCCCAAAAAAAGGCCAGTGCCCAGGGGGAAGGGCTGTGCTGGAGCAGCTCACAGGCAAAGTCTTCCTGCGGGGAGGACCTGGCTGCCCTCGGGAGCACAGGGGTGGTGGGAAGGACAACCCTGGCTGCAAGGGTCTTGCTGAAGCCATAGGTGAAGGGAGGAAACCAGTAACAAGCAATCTGGGTGCAGGTGCAGACCTGTCTTGTCCACCAAAGGGGGACTGACCCACTGCACTGGTCAGAAAGTAGCTGAGACCAATTCAGCAGCTTGAAGCAATAAAAGCAACTTACTTGTTGACCCCAGAACCAGCCATGACCTTCAGCATCGGCTCCAGGTCTTCTGCATAGCGGCACATGGGCCCCGTGCACAGGAAGCTGGTCCGCACCCCTCGGGCGTTTGGGAACTGGCCATCGTTGGGAACCACCCCTGTGAGCACAGAGGGAGATGTTGGTACCGTCTAATGAACATCTGTGAGCACCTGAGAGCACCCAACAGCATCTCCTCCAGCTGGGACAAGCTGTGCAGGAGGGTGGGCTCTGGATGCAGGGGGAACTGTCACCCAGGGACCGCAGACATCGGCAGCACTCAAAGGCTGATGGCAAGGTGGAGTGTGGAGAAAGGAGGAGAAGCATCCAGTTGGGACACCAGCTGAGAGGGAAACACCTTGGGAAACACCTTGGGAAACCATCCCACGCTGATGATGCAATACCAGGGGTAAAACATCTCCCACCTCCCATGTGCTTGGTGTTTTGCCACCAAACCAGGTTGTGCTGTCCCCTTCCAGCGATCCCACCCGAGACAAACACAGGAGTGTCCTGAACAGGTTCCTCCTCCCACACTCCACATTCCACCTCCTGGCATTTCTGCTGAGGAGGTGGAGGAGATCCCCACACCCGTTCTACCTGTCGTGGGTTTATGGCCGAAGACTCCGTTGAAGAAGGCAGGCATCCGGATGCTGCCACCGATGTCCGAGCCCACACCTATGACCGAGCAGGCAGCTGCCAGCACACTGCCCTCCCCACCTGCATGGAGAAATCACAAAATCACAGACTGGTGGGGTTGGAAGGGACCTCAGGAGATCATCCAGTCCAACCCCCCTGCTAAAGCAGGGTCACCTAGAACAGGTTACACAGGGCTGCATCCAGGTGGGTTTTGAACATCTCCAGAGATGGAGACTCCACACCCTCTCTGGGCAGCCTGTCCCAGGGCTCTGGCACCCTCACAGGAAAGAAGTTTCTCCCCATGTTTAAGCAGAACCTCCTGTGTTCCAGTTTGTGCCCATTGCCCCTTGTCCTGTCACTGGGCACCACCGAGAAGAGTCCGGCCCCATCCATTTGGCCCCCACATTTCAGATCTTTATAGACATTGATCACATCCCCTCTCAGTCTGCTCTTCTCCAGGCTGAACAGCCCCAGCTCTCTCAGTCTCTCCTCATAAGAAAGATGCTCCAGCCCCTCATCATCTTTGTGGCCTCCACTGGACTCTCTCCAGAAGATCCCTGTCTCCCTTAAACTGGGGATCCCAGAACTGGACACAACACTCCAGATGTGGCCTCACCAGAGCAGAGTAGAGGGGAGGAGAACCTCCCTCAACCAGCTGGTCATACTCTTTTTACTGCCCCCCAGGAGACCATTGGCCTTTCTTGGCCACAAGGGCCCATTGTTGGCTCAGGGAAAACAGCAAAAAACCCCCACAGGTTTATGGTGCAAATCACCCAGCAAAGCAGGAGCATCTCATAGTGGCACTTCCCTTTGCATGCAGATGGGGTGGGAGCTGCCCCAGCTTCCACGATGTCTGGGGGACAGCTGGGAACGTGGGCCAAAAGGAATTCTGCTGCTGAACTGCCACACCAGCACTGTTGTTGGCATGTAGAGTAAGACAGAGTGAGCCAAAGCGATGCTGGGTGTAACATCCAGGAGATGTAAAGCAGTTGGAATGATCTACTGCACTGCCCAGGAGAGACCCATGAGCTCTACAGGAGCCCAGCAAGAAGAAAAAGTGGTGTGAGAAGACTTGGGAACTCCTTCCTTGCTGTGTTTTAACCCACTGGGTGTGCAGGACCGTGCTGAGGTGCTGGGGACTCACCTGAGCTGCCACCCGCAATCCTCTGCAGGTCATAGGGGTTGTTGGTCCGGCCGTAGACCCTGTTGCTGGACTCGTACCACATGCACAGCTCGCTGCAGTTGGTGACACCCAGAGGGATGGCACCAGCCTGTTTCAGCCGGGACACCACCGTGGCATCCGAGGTGGCAATCACATTGTGGCGGTTGACCAAGCCCGACGTGTTGGGCATCCCTGTGGTGTCAGGGTGAAGAGATGGAGGGAGGTGTCAGGGCCAGCTCACCTGAGATCACCCTGGGGGTAGCAGGCTGCAAGAAGCAGGTCCCCACCAAGGGTTGCTCCTCTCAGGTCCTCCTCCAAGTGCCCTGCCACAGCCACCCACCAATCTGGGGAGCATGTGGCCGAGAGGGAGGGAGTCACAACCTATGAAGCTGGAGAGAAACAAGAGCAAACTCACCGTGCAGAGAAAAGGCCTCCTTGACAGTGATGGGGACCCCCAACAAGGGGAACTTCTCCTCCAAGTAGTCATCACCAGGGCCCTCTGAAAGCAGCTTATCTACCTGCTGGGCTTCCTGCAGGGCCTCCTCAAACCTGTAAAGAAGTAACAGCAGAGATGCTCTGGTGCTTCTCTCCAGCCTGAATCCCAGAATTGCCTGGATTGGAAAA